ATCTCTTTCTTTCCAATTACTTTTATTCTCAATACATGCTAAAAGGTATTTTTTCTGCTTCATCGTGAATGACACCACACAAAAATTACCTTCTCCGTACACTGTATGGCTTCTCTATAATATATTAACAAACATATGTCTGTTATTCCAACCCATGATAGTTCCATTCGAATCAAACGTTTATTTTTGAACTTCACAAATTTTAATTACGTAATATGATATGGAAGTTGCTGGACAGCTGTTTCGATTATAATAGAGACCTTTTCCTGTGCTTTTCCCCGTAGAAACACGCATATTATGCTGGATGAGTACTGAAATACCTTTATTATAAATATGATTACTCCATAAATCACAGATATTGTGTTATTCAAACTTCCCACAGGACAAATTACAATACCAGATGCCAATTAAGTGAATATGTTGAGGCACTTTCATAACTATATCATGTTTCACAAAGTTATTTCTCTCAGGTAAGTATAGTGACACTGTTAGTTTCAATAAAATTAGCTGTTCTGTAAAATTTTTCCCATCGTTTGACCAGCCTTCGCTCTGAGTGGTAAGTTTTGACCCTATTATACAGGCTGTAAGCGTTATGGTAGTCATTACTGAAATGGGTAATAGGGGTGGTCAAAACAAGTCAAAAAGTTCATATGACCCATGCTCCGAAAGTCAATAAATGTTTGTCTAAATGGCTTCATAGTTTACAACTTTAAGGGCCGATTTCACCAACATTAATATTATGGACCAATGGGAAAATACTTTATCGATATGCAATTTGACAGAAGCTGTCAAAGGTCTCTGAATATTAGTGATTTCTATTGAAATATTGAATAAAATCGTGAAAATTCGACTGTATTATAAACAAGACGACTTTTTGATTCTAACATGATGCTTTTGTACAGAAAAAAACAGGACAACTTTCATGTATTTTGATATATGTTATAGGTTTACATTTAACCCGTTAATCCACTCAGCGAATGGGCAAATAATAGGTCGATTTTCTAGCTGTTAAATTTGGCAGCAGGTTTGGACGTTTGTTAATGCATTGCACTCTCTAATTTACCAGCTTCAATATACTGAAAGTTATCATTACATACCTGTTGAATAGTGTGGATTTGTCTGTATTTTGCAAGAAAATAGAATATAAAATACATTCCATCCAATTCCTCATCTTCCTTCACGTCATAATAGTAATCATTTATTAATTTATGGGTTAATGAATTTCTTCAAAGCAATAAAAACATTATGTCCTCTCCATCCTAAAACACAGATAATATGTGTACGACGTGTCAATCCCTACATCTCCCTGATGCATAATGCAATTACTATGGACATAGACAAAAAAATATGAAAAATGTTTCACAAATAATGGCCTTTTAAGTCCAAAAATCATCAAAACTAGTAATGTTTATTGTTTGTGTTTTTGACTGGCGGTCGTTGACTAGCGGGGATATCTATCTGTCACTCGAGGGTTGCCAAGTCTAACGACGATCACTTCCCGTGGTGGAGGGTGCGAAATGAATCTTTTACATTTGCTGGTTTTACATTTTTTTCATGAAAATTTACTAGGTATCATGACTATAAGCATCTTTGGTAGATTGCTCTATCCGGAATGGGAAAGATCTCCTATTTATGAAAATATTTTTGGTATCATCTAACCGTTGCAATCAGTGCACAAACACTGTGACTTATGACTTATAGTATAACCCGCTGCCCTATCAATACAAATTTAACATACAGGTCGCCTAGCCGTGGGAATGCAGTGGACGGGATGAATATCACGGCAGCAACTGATGATTTGGGCATGTCTGGTAAGAACGTATGAAGTGAAACTCGCTAACTTCACAAATTTGAAGATTTTGTACAATTTCTTTGAAAATCATGAAAGATATGTCTGATTTGGCAGGGTAATGTCGCAGCCAAAGGGCAGTCACTCTTTCTGACACAGTCCGGATCGAAAGATGACGATACTCGTGAAATGTATTGATACTTATAAATATAGGATCCTATCGAACATCCCTACTGTCAAGATGTATAACCCAAGGTACCGGCGGAGCTACTTTGCGGCGTCATGAAAATAATTTTAAATTTTTATTTGCATTTTTTCAAGTGTTGTGCAATGATTTTGGGAAAAATGTCACGAATAGTCTTATTAAGCATAGTAGAGTATATTTCAACAGTTGGCGGAACTTACTCCACTAGGACCAGGAGGGTGAAACGGGATATTAATGTACAATCTGGCAACCCTGTCGCACCCTCACAAAATGGCCACTGAGAACCACACAAGTCACCGTGTTGTGATTGACTAGCATGGAATTAAACCTTCAGAGTATGTTTTGTGACTGGTACCAAGAGTTGACAGAGACCACACATGTGTACACTCCTTGAAATGCAATAATCAGCTGTATTCAAATAATGTCTAATATAAATATAACCTAGAATGTGTACTCGTGAAAAAAGAAAAATATGGCAAATGTGTAGTTTTTTTGCAGGTTTTATAGGTTTGCTGGTAGCTTTAAGGAATATATTTGGGAATTTCTTAATCGCTGTGAATATAGTGTGGATGTTTGTTCAGTTCCTGAACAACGAAAAATATTCAACTTTATGGATGTATGGATATCAAAAAACTTGAATGGTTTTGTGGGAATTTCAATCTAAGGTGCCATAATGGTTCTGATGAACGGCAAGTAAATGAATGAATGTTTGGAAACGAGCAATATCTTTTGGTAGAGCCAGCCTGTCATCAAGTAGGTGCTTAATGGCTATCTACAAGAGGTTTATAGGAACAAACACCCAGTATCACATATCAATTGAAGAAAATAATATAAACATGAATAAAAAATCAACAATAGTAATTAAAACATGAATTTAATTCAAAAATCAAACATTTCTTAAAATTTTGACTGAATTATATGTAATTTCTTAATATTCAATAAGCTGGTAATGTTTCAATGACAAGTTGTCATCTCATACTTTGACAGTATTTTGTTTGCATAGCTATTGGTTGCTAAAATTTGTTGATTGGAACTTGAAGCTCATTCGCTGTATCTGACGGTCTGTTACCCTATAGGTAGTGAATAACGGACTGTTGTTGGTGAAATTGGGCCTTAGTGCTTTATATCGACCACAATCACCACAATCTTACCAATTTTTATAATCTAATCTAAAACATTTTTAAATTGGGTAATTAACAAATAAATGGCGTTAAGTTAAGCCAAAATTTGTAGTCAGTGAGTAAGTAAGTTTCATTAAATTGAATATTTAAAACACGCATGACAACAGCGCGTCGGTCATCATCACTCTTATCGAACCGGCAATCGATCGCAAACGGTAACAGTGGTTAGTATTTTGTTTTGTTTTTGTTCGCGTACATCGTCGTGTTGATTTACAATGTTAACGAATCAAGAGTTCGCCGACATGTTGTTAGTTTATGGTGAAGCTCATCAGAATTCAAATCTTGCAGCTCAAATTTATCGCGACAGATTTCGCCAACGGGTACACCCAGACAGAAGGACATTTGTTTAAGTGTACCAAAGACTTCGAGATACAGGAAGTGTTCAGCCTACTAATATTCGCACTCGTAAAAGACAGGTTACTGTAGAGCAGGAGGAACAAATTTTAAATATCATGGAAATCAATGCACTCGGGAATTACAATTTTTTTTTATAACCTCTTATCGCACGTCGTACTCTCTCTCTTTCTCTTTCCGGCAAATAGTAAATCCGTCAATTCCATTAGGCGCGTTCGCCCCTAATACGTCTTGCCAGCTGTATATCTTTCGGCATGATCGTTACTCGCTTAGCGTGGATCGCGCACAAGTTCGTATCCTCGAATAGTCCGACCAGGTACGCTTCGCTAGCTTCTTGGAGTGCCATTACAGCAGAACTTTGGAATCGCAAATCGGTCTTGAAATCTTGCGCTATTTCACGGACCAGCCGTTGGAAAGGCAATTTTCTGATCAACAATTCGGTACTTTTCTGATAACGACGAATTTCTCTGAGAGCCGCGTAGGACTATCGCATACCATAGTCCATAGAATCCTACGGGAAAATTTGCTTTATCCCTACCATGTACAACAAGTGCAAGAGTTAACCGAAGATGATTCTGTAGGCGATTTGAGTTTTAGCGAACAAATGACGGCAGCGAATTATGATAATACCATTCATGTAAAGAATATCTGCTTCAGTGATCTATACATATCTGAACCAGTTTGGTTAAAGGATATCAAGTTATTTAAGGTCTTGATAATTTTAACGTCGATGTCATGAAGATTTTTACTTTTAAAAGTATTTAAGGGCTTAATTGGGCCACGTACCTGGTTGAATGGAACAGTTCCAAAGTTAAAATGTAATGTACCTCTAGTCTGTAAAAAAAGATTTGAAGTTTGAGTAGGTAGCTGGAATTTCAGCAATAATGATTTCAAGAATGCTTACAAAGAAAGAGCTTAAACCTTAAACCATACGCACTGGGAGTAGAAGAATGGGATTTTGATGATTGCACACCATTGGCCTTAGTCAGATCCCAGAAAGGTGCTTGTATATTTAACGCTCTAACAATGCATTCATCGTTTCGTCATCCTGATTTTTGATCGGTACTTACATATGCCCCATTTACCGTTCAATGAAAAATAGGGTAGGGCTTACTTCTGACTCTGTGTTTAGCCTGTTATGCCTTGCATGTAATTGTTTGAGACAGATATTTGATGAATGACTGTGTCATCATACTCATTGCAGATAAAGTGGAAACTACGCGGTAAACGTTGAGTACTCTCCCTATTTCAAGTACATACCTTATTCTAGAGTTTGATCGACCTAACATTATGCTCAAAAAAAGTATCTGAAAACTTTTGCAAAAGTGTTGGTTGAGACTTCCCTTAGGTTTATTTAGTGATATAACGGACTGTGTTATACTTTCCTTGAAATACTTTTTTTTATAATCCGGAAATTAGAAATGTTATCGAATTGAGTAACTCAAGATTCAATACAGAAGAAATATGTTTATTAATGCACATTGCCATTAATTACAATATTCTTTGTATTATTTAAGAAAATGTCAAACTTAGATTTGATCTGCACATTTGCAAAGGTAATATTCTTGATCGATGACTCAGGTAAACCAACAATGAAAATGGGGTTGAGCACTGAGTCTCCTTGGATATTCTTGAACTCAATATTCCTAATGAACGGAGTTCTTTCATTAACCGGTTCCCAGTGAAAATCTCTATTGTGAAGACCCGCGTCACTTCCGTTGTAAATCGTTGCAATTGCTATACCTTCTTTTCTAAGATCAACCATCGTAATGTCATGATAGCTAATGTCTTCAACTAAACCGCCTCTACCTCTTCTTGACTTTATAAACAATCCTCTATTAGTGCCATTGAAGATGCAGTTCCTTACTGTTACGTTCCTTAATCCTCCAGCTGTGACACTTCCTATGCTGACTCCTCCATGTCCGGCATACATGTGGCTATTTTCTATGAGTACGTCTACTGTCGGAATTCTGGTGTTACGTTCAATATTAGAATCTAGTGCTATGCAGTCGTCTCCCGTACTAATATTGACACCTGTTATGTGCACTCGCTTACAAGAGTTGATGTTTATACCATCAGTGTTCGGTCCTGGATCTACGTAGTTTGCAGGGTTCCTTATCTTAATTCTTTTAATCACTACATCATCACAGTTTTTCAGATTAACGTTATACATGGGACTACTCTTCACAGTGATGTCTTCTAGAAGTAGGTTTCGAACCCAGAATATTTGCAGAAACACTGGTCTCGTACTTGGCGGAGGCATTCTTGCCCACCAGGTCTCTCCATGACCATCTAGCATGGCATTTCCCCTAATAGTAATGTTACTGTGCCCAAAAGCTCTGATCAGTGGTGTGAATGGCAGGGTGATCTTATTACCATTAGGAATCGTTTCCTCCAGTGGTGGGTACTCCTTGGGATCATCCAGAAATCTGAGTACGACTTTATCAGCAAAGTCCAGGGTAATATTGGACTTCAATTCAACGGCCCCACTCAAGTACTGTCCATGAGGGAAATAGACAATACCTCCATAGTTCCTTGCAGCTTCGTTGATGGCTCTCTGGATGGCTTCAGTACATGGTTTGCTTCCAGTATGGTCTGCACCGAATTTAGTCACATCATAGATATCACTTGCAGTAACTGTGAATAAGATAGCGGTGAAGTAAATAAACGCAACCATGTTGACAGCGGTTGAGTGATTTGTGCAGGGATCCTTTTTATGGCCGTCTCCATATTTTTAATAACGCTTATCTGATTGAACTATGCTGATAATATCTGTTATCTCAGTTTTCCATGGATCTTAATTGGAGGTGATAAGTGTATAGAGGGTAATTCAACAGAAAATGATAATACTTGTCGAGCATAAAGTGCATCGGAACGAAGAAATTATGTTTGCTATGCGCCGCTCATGAAACAAATTGACAACAGAAAATGATGGTATCCTTAAAATAAAGCTGAGCTGAGAGGGCATTAAAGAGTTTTGCTAATCACAAAATGACATACATAATCATTAACCATAACCTGTAATCCATCAACTTCTTATTGCTTAAACGTCAATATTATCGGCTACATATGCACTATTTGTAGCTGTTAGAACTGTCTGTTACTTTTCTTATGCACTTTATGCACCTCTTAACAAACTTACCTTACACGAGATCTGTTCCGCTGTAAAACAATTTTTGTAGGATTTCAGGCCTTTATATTTAAACCTTTTTAATTCCCACGCCATGGGCGAGGAAGTATTGTAATCACCAAAAATTTTTAAAATGATGTATTGGTTGTTATATGACACGTAGGCCACTAAAGGACATGTCACCCCTTTTCGTCGGGGTGTTTGTCCCTCTGACGGTCTGCTAGCCTATCTGTCCGTTAACCCTTGGACAATCTATAAACAATTAGTGTGTTTAGTTTTAACTTCTCCATTTTAAGCGATGCCATTTGTAATACCTGTCAACTGGTGACGTCAAAAACTGGTCTTTTGTAACGTCTCTATTGGTGAAAGTTAAGATCAATAACAACCTTGCACAGATGGTGGTTTCCATGCGGTTTTGAATATTAAGTGACAATTGATCAATATAACATAACCCTTTTCTATTTTTTTGCGCCTTTTATGTCTTATGTTTTGTGACGTCTATGACTTATCACTCGTTTACAAATGTTTTCTTTCAAAAATGTACCTCGACAAAAAGATGTTTTTTAGACTAGCTGGAAAAGATAATGACACCAATTTCTCCAAAAGCCGTTCTTGAGATTTTTGTAAAAACGTGTTTTTTGTACCGTAGTGCAGTTATATAAAGGGCCTTTTTGAAGCTTTTTGAAAATTATTTATTACTTATTAACTTTAACTTTAGATTTTCCCAACTAACATAAGTTATGTAAGCTTGGCGATAATCGAGCCCAAGTGTGTATAAATCGGACAGAAAATGTGAAAGTTATGACGTGTTATGTAAATGAAGCCAATTTAGCAAAAGTGAATAATTTTGGCCTGTGGATTGAGCCACGCTAGGTTGAAGGTAAATTCGTCGGTCCACAGATTACAAAATTGTTTACTGAGACAGAGTTTCAACAATGTTTGAACAATTCCGAAGCTAAAGCTTGGGAAGGTTACCAAAGAGGTGTTCATGGATTCTTGGGAAACAGCAGGAGCAAGAACGACCGTCAATTGATTCATACAATGACGAAAAAATTAAATGCTATTGGTTAGTATTGAAATACATACATACTACAGAATGCTGGATGCAACTTAGTGAAGATTCCACGCAACATAAGAGAAAAAGTTTGAGAGTGAAAGCGTATTTAGACCTTAAATGTAACTTTGTCGAGTACTGTAAAATCGAATGTGTTCACATTATACATCATAACTTCCACATTTTTTGTCCGATTCAGAAAAACTTTGGACTTGTTATGTAGGTGACGAAGTTATCTTTAAGCTTACATAATTTATGCTAGTAAAGGGTGTCTCATAAATATTTTCTTATTTTATGCCATAAATAAAAATACTTAGAATATTTTTACAAAGATAAATTTATTACCAAACGAAAGCCTAAACATTAATTTTATTTATGGAAAAGAGTATCGGATAAATGAGCACCGTTCATGTTTTCACACTCTCTTAATCTCGAACTGAAGTTTTCGATCACTCTCCGAAGCATTGCTCGAGGAATGGCGTTTATTTCATCTGTTATTTTTTGCTTCAACTCTCTCAAATCTTGTGGCGGTGGGGTGTATACCTTACTCTTCAGGTATCCCCATAAGAAAAAATCTGCTGGTGTCAAATCGGGACTTCTCGGTGGCCAGTTAATGTCTCCTCTGCGACTGATGACCCTCTCTGGGAATAACTGATGAAGAGCATCCAAGGATTCATTTGTGACATGAGAAGTCGCTCCATCTTGCTGGAAAAACGTGTTTCTATTGTAGCCACCATGGTTCTGTATAGCTGGAGTTAAAAAAGTCCTAGTCATGTGGCAGTAGCGCTCAGATGTTACAGTTTGAGCTTGGCCACGATTGTCTTCAAAAAAATACGGGCCAATGATTCCTTGCCCTGACATAGCAGCCCAGACGATAACTTTAGGCGAGTGTAATGGCGTCTCATGAAGATTTTGCGGGTTCTGCTCGGCCCAATATCGGCAGTTTTGTTTATTAACATGCCCGTTAATGTGAAAATTCGATTCATCAGAAAACCATATGTTGTTGTAACCGTTAAAATGCTCTCTCATTGTTCTACAGAACTCTAATCGATTAGCGGGATCTTGTGGTTTTAATTGTTGTGTAACAACAATCTTGTATGGGTGAAAATGCAAATCCTTGCGAATAATGCGATGAACAGTTGATTTATGCAAAGTTAGAGACGCTCCACGCAGTTTTAATGATTGCCGGGGATCCTCGTTAACGGACTGGCGCACACGTTCAATATTTTCGTTCGATCTTGCTGACCTTGGCCGTCCAGGCGGTTTACTAATACACGTGTTTCCAGTGCTCTCGAACTTTCTTACCCAATATTTAATTAAATTTGCGCTTGGGACATCTCTCATTCTTGCTATGTTATAATGATTTCTGTACAAACGACGTACAAGCACATAAGAATCCTTGTTTTTATAGAACTCGCGAACACAAAAAGCACGTTGCGGCCCTGTAAAACAATCCATTGCAACTAAAATTTAACAATGTTGCCAAACGTTTGTCAACTGTCTCGTTTCTCCGGAGCATGCGTATTCCGCCAGAGGACTGATCTAAAAACGAAAATATTTCTGAGACACCCTTTATAAGGCTTCAAAAATGCCTCTTTTCAACTTTTAACTGCTATTTTGCGAACACTACGGACTTAATTGACAAAAATTATATATTGCCGTGAAAGGAATATGTGTGGCTTTTAAAAGTTACACATGTTCAAAAACGACGCCTACCGTTTCCGAGATTTCAGATAATAACTGCGCTCTGACACAAAAAACGAGCTTTTTGCAAAAATCTCGTATACGGCTCTTTGGAAAAATGAATGAGAGTCATTTTCGTTTTCAACGACCTCAAATTAGTCTAAAAAGCACCTTTTTGTCGAGGTACATTTTTCGTGTAAACAACTTAGTGCTAGAATTTTCCGTAAAAAGTTAGCAGTGAAAAAAAAAACGATGTCAGATGGCAATAGGCGTAGAACTACTCAGTTTCTAAGTAGTCATGCATTGTTTTTGTTGTGCAAAACTTAAAAAGTAACTTGGTGTGTTGATACTATCACAATGAGGTATTATCTTATATTTGAATTATATATATTTATAATCATTGACGTTGGACCACAAAACAGTTGCATCTAGCAACCCTGTTCTCAGCTCACTGTTCTGTGCCAGCAGTGCAACATTGCTTTATAACTTGGACTGTGCCGCTCGGCTTTTGCTTTATTACTCTATGCTAAGGACGAAAAAGCTTTTAAGTTTTTGGAGATCGGTATGGCGGTGGTGGTGGAAGTAGAGACAAAAAACAGAAAAGTAAGAATCGCCCATACTGCGTATTTTATCGTTTCCGAGACTGCTGATCATTTTCAGAAAATTTTTGTAGGGGTTAAGCATCTCATTTTTTGCGGAAGACACTTGTTTTGGGATAAACAATTAGAAATTCTCAAAGACTACTTGACCAATCGCCTCTAATTTTGTTGCGGTTACTTACTATAGAAGTATGAAGCCTATGGATTTGAAGAACTTAAAGTATTTGCGTGAAATTATCGTGGTATTAGCAGCAAGTGCCAAAACCTGCATTTTGCCTCGGTTTTCGGCCATAACTTTTATACTATTAGTCGGATCTTCTTACGTATGGTGTCAGTCTCATAAATACCTAAAAATCATATTAGAAGAGTTTTTTTGGTTCCTGCCTACACTTTCGATTGAATTCCAAAAAACACATCTTCTCATTCTTTGTTGTCGAATAAAAAGTTTTCCCACAAAAATTGGTGTACCCATTTTATGCGTACATGTTTTAAATACCCCCCAAATATTTGAAAATATAGTCTCGATTGGAAATATTTAACCTATAATAAAGCTCCGCAAATTTTTAAATAACAGCGTGTTACGTTTCGACAACATTATGAAAGAAGAGATGAGCTTCATTGTCGTTTCCAATCAGGAAAAATATTTTTAAATTTCGTTTTATTATCAGCGTTTTATTATCAGCTGAATAAAATCTTGTTTTTAGGACGTGTTTTGTATTTTAATTATTATTGTTTCACGATGTTCCACTCTCAAGTGTAGCTGATCTTACATCAGGTATCTGCCTCTTTCAAGTGTGCTCACGTTATCTGGCACGTACACATTTAAATCGGTGGTTTTTAGTTAATATTTGTATAACCGCAGATGACGTTCTGTATTCTCAAACATTATGGGACATATGCTGTACTGAAGAATATGGATTCATCATAAATAAGATGAGTTTTAAAATTACAGTCTTACTAAGGCATCGCTAACCATGAATGAAAAATCTGAAAGATAGTTTGATGCAGGTGTGTCGACATCTACAACCCAGTTCGTTAAAACTATCTCTTCCTGAACATCTGCAAGTATAACTCGACAAACTTAAATCATATACACGATTTTGCTGAAAAATCCCATATCCTGAATGAATGCCAACATGGATTTAGAGCTGAGAAATTCATCGAAACTGCAAGCTGTCATTTGCTTGAATTTGTTTATAGCAGACTTGACA